TGGAGGCTGTGTGAGGGCTGGGCAGGGGCCAGGTGGGTTTGGGATGGATGGTTGGATGGAGGGCAGCGAGAGGGGCTGGGCCTCTGTTGCTCTTGCCTGACCCAGGACAAAATGGGGAGACTAAGTGCTCACTAGAGGCTACTGTAAATCTCCCCCTGCCACACCCCAGGCTCCCAGCGCCACATTTCCAGGATGGGCTGCAGCGTATTTCTGCCAACCTCAGGTCGCGTACCCACCCCACCCCCTTCCAGCCCTGAGGGCACTGCGCACTGTAGCACCCTAGCAACAGGCACGTGGCTGAGACGCAGCTTCCAAGCATTGCTATAGAGACAAGGCGTGGCCCTGCCCTCTCTGGCTTAACAAGCAAACAGGATTCGCAGCCGCTCCACTTGAACTGAGGGAAGAAAAGGTTTTTAAAGGGAATCAAGGTAAAGGCAAAATGCAGCTGGTATCAAGAGGAGTGCCCAGCGGTCAGTCCTGGGGCCGGTTTTGCTCAACATCTTAATTAATGATCTGGATGATGGGATGAATGGCACCCTCAGCAAATTCACAGATGACAGTAAGCTGGGGGGGAGATGTAGATACGTTGGAGGGTAGGGACAGGGTCCAGAGTGACCTAGACAAATAGGAGGATTGGGCCAAAAGAAATCTGATGAGGTTCAACAAGGACAAGTGCTGAGTCCTGCTTTCCAGGCCACTGTGAGTGGAGGCTCTGTGAGGGCTGGCCAGGGGCCTGTGACGTTTGGGCGGCAGGTTGGATGTAGTGGAGACTCTGTGAGGGCCGGGCAGGGGCAGGGCAGGTTTGGGACGGGTGGTTGGATGGAGTGGAGGCTACGTGAGGGCTGGGCAGGGTCGAGGTAGGTTTGGGCAGGGGGTTGGTTGGAGTGGAAGCTGTGTGAGGGCTGGGCAGGGGCGAGGTAGGTTTGGGCAGGTGGTTGGAGGGAGAGGAGGCTGCATGAGGGCTGGGCAGGGTCGAGGTAGGTTTGGGCGGGTGGTTGGTTGGAGTGGAGGCTGCGTGAGGGCTGGGCAGGGGCCTGGCAGGTTTGGGATGTTTGGTTGGTTGGGCCGTCTTCCTGGCATGGACAGTAGGAAGGAACTGAAGGGGACAGCTGCCCTCATGGAGGGCGTATTCATGCATCTACAACAGGGCTCACTCACACACAGACTCCAAGAACTAACAGCTGCCCAGATTTTAATTCAGCTGCTTCTGGGCAATTGCCCAAGCCCGTCCCAAATGCCATTCACAGTGGCAGGCAGCAGGCGAAGGCTGATGCCCCTCGTACTGGACTGATGACTGGGTCTGGTTTGGGACAGAGCCTCGAAAGGGACGGGATTGTGTCTCTTTGAGCCGAGGCCGGTGAGACCTGGGTGCCTCACTCACAGCTGAGCATTGCAGTGCAGTCAATCATTTCCATCCTACCATCAACCTCAGCCTAGATCAATCCACACAAGCGGTCCATTTCCTGGACACTACTGTGCTAATAAGCGATGGTCACATAAATACCACCCTGTACCGGAAACCTACTGACCGCTACACTTACCTACATGCCTCCAGCTTCCATCCAGGACACACCACACGATCCATTGTCTACAGACAAGCTCTAAGATATAACCGCATTTGCTCCAATCCCTCAGATAGAGACAAGCACCTACAAGATCTCTATCAAGCATTCTTAAAACTACAATACCCACCTGCTGAAGTGAAAAAACAGATTGACAGAGCCAGACGAGTACCCAGAAGTCACCTCCTACAAGACAGGGCCAACAAAGAAAATAACAGAACACCACTAGCTGTCACCTTCAGCCCCCAACTAAAACCTCTCCAGCGCATCATTAGAGATCTACAACCTATCCTGAAAGATGATCCTTTACTCTCACAGATCTTGGGAGACAGACCTGTCCTTGCTTACAGACAACCCCCCAACCTAAAGCAAATATTCACCAGCAACCACACATCACTGAACAAAAACACTGACCCAGGAACCTATCCTTGTAACAAAGCCCGATGCCAACTCTGTCCACATATCTATTCAAGTGACACCATAATAGGGCCTAATCACATCAGCCATACCATCAGGGGCTCGTTCACCTGCACATCTACCAATGTGATATATGCCATCATGTGCCAGCAATGCCCCTCTGCCATGTACATTGGCCAAACCGGACAGTCTCTACGCAAAAGAATTAATGGACACAAATCTGACATCAGGAATCATAATACTCAAAAACCAGTGGGAGAACACTTTAACCTGTCTGGCCATTCTATGACAGACCTGCGGGTGGCTATCTTAAAACAGAAAAACTTCAAAAACAGACTCCAACGAGAGACTGCTGAGCTGGAATTGATATGCAAACTAGACACAATCAACTCAGGGCTAAATAGGGATTGGGAATGGCTGAGCCATTACAAACATTGAATCTATCTCCCCTTGTAAGTATTCTCACACTTGCTTCTTATCAAACTGTCTGTACTTGGCTACCTTGATTATCACTTCAAAAGTTTTTTTTCTCTTACTTAATTGGCCTCTCAGAGTTGGTAAGACAACTCCCACCTGTTCATGCTCTCTGTATGTGTGTATATATATCTCCTCGATATGTTTCACTCAATATGCATCCGAAGAAGTGGGTTGTAGCCCACGAAAGCTTATGCTCTAATAAATTTGTTAGTCTCTAAGGTGCCATAAGTACTCCTGTTCTTAGTGCAGTCACCGTGGGTGATGCTAGATGCTTAGCTGCGAGGGCCTCGGCAAGTCAGTGTTGTGTCGCCATCTTCTGGTTGGGAGGGGCTATAACCCAGCACCTGCACTTGAACAGCGGAGCTGAAAGAAAGAGCAGATCTGCTTGTCTTTACACAGCGTGGAACGGGGTGAGGCTCTGAGCTGAGCTGAGCTGTGACAGCCGGGCGCCCAGCACACCTCTTAAGGGACCAGCTTCACTGGTGCCCCAGGGTTTGGGGAATGGGCCTATGCTGCTGTAGGAGTGAGTGCAGCCGGGCGTCTCTGGGGCCAAGTGCCCAGAATCACATGTCGTATCTTGCTTTGCTTTCCAGAATCTGACAAGTGGCTGGTCTGACCCACCATGGCTAACACAGAGGACCAAGGAATGGAGATACACACAAATCCCATAGAAAAGCTCAGGGCACAGTGCTTGGCAAGAGGCTCAGCTGGCATTAAGGGGCTGGCCAGGTATGGAGACACATCCTTTTATGGTGATAGTTGTGGGGAAAAATCCGCTCCCAGGAAGTGTGCCAGCCCAGTGGCTTAAGAGCAGGCATTACATGGAAGCCGGGCCTTGAGCCATTGGCACAGGGTGATCACTGCCTTAGTGACTGTTAAACCTCTAATGCAGGGGTTCTCAAACTGTGGGTCAGGACCCAAAGTGGGACACGGCCCCATTTTAATGGGATTGCCAAGGCTGCTGTTTGACTTGCTGGGATCCAGGGTCCAAGCCCAAGCCCCACCACCTGGAGCTGAAGCCGAAGCCTGAGCCCCACTGCCCAGGGCTAAGGTTATATGCCCTCTGCCCTGGACCGCAGCTCTTGGGCTTCAGCTTTGGCCCCTCCCCTCCTCCACCTGGGGCGGCGGGGCTCGGGCAGCTCAGGATTTGGTCACTCCCCCTGAGGTCGTGTAGTAATTTTTGTTGTCAGAAAGGGGTCATGATGCCATGAAGTTTGAGATGTGCTGCTCTAATGAATGGTAGGCCCAGGTTACATTTAGCAAGAGGAGAATGTTAAGCCTGATCTCCTGGCTGGACAACTGACCTCTGCCTCCCACCTTCTCTTCTCAGCCCCCTCCCCCCCCCCCCCCCCGTGCTTTCAGTTATGAAGAGACATTTGCCATGAGCCATTGTGGTTCTGCCCCATTGCATTCCAGAGGGCTGTAGGTCCTGACCAGGACCTGCATATTGGGGGCGAGGGGGAGAGACAAGGCTCTGCACCCTTTTCAATTACTGTCTGATACAGGGGTAGGCAACCTATGGCACGCGTGCTGAAGGTGGCACATGAGCTGATTTTCAGTGGCACTCACACTGCCCGGGTCCTGGCCACCAGTCTGGGTGGGCTCTGCATTTTAATTTAATTTTAAATGAAGCTTCTTAAACTTTTTAAAAACCTTATTTACTTTACATACAACAATAGTTTAGTTCTATATTCTAGACTTATAGAAAGAGACCTTCTAAAAACGTTAAAATGTATGACTGGCACGCGAAACCTTAAATCAGAGTGACCAAATGAAGACTCGGCACACCACTTCTGAAAGGTTGTCGACCCCTGGTCTGATATATAAAGAAGGCTGGAACCAGAGCAGCCCCCTCCCAGGTGCCATTTGTGGGGATGGTAATGTGAGACGTTGCAGCCTTTTCCAGTCCATCCTGCATTTCCCAGTACCAAGCAAAGAGTGATGAATTCTCCTGCCAAGGAACGGATGGTGCCTGGGAGGCAGGTTAGCAGGATTAGCCCCATTGTACTGCTGGGTAACTGAGCCTGAGAGGTGATGCAACTTTGCTAGAGCACATTGTGAGTGGTAGAGCTGGGAATGGAACCCAGGAGTCCCGAGCTCAGTGCATCAGCTATAAGATGCCTCTTTTATTCATCCTCTCCCTTTCCCACTCATAAGAATGGCCATACTGGGTCAGAGCAGTAACACTGGGTCCAGCTAGCCCAGTATCCTGTCTTCCAAGAGTAGCCAGTGCCAGATGTTTCAGAGGGAATGAACAGACCAGGACACTTAGCACGTGATCCACCCCTGTTGTCCAGTCCCAGCTTCTGGCAGTCAGAGGCTAGGGACACCCACAGCATGGGGTTGCATCCCTGACCATCTTGGCTAACATCCATAGATGGACCTATCCTCCATGAACTTATCTAGTTCTTTTTTCAGTTCAGTTACAGTTTTGGCCTTCACAACATCCCCTGGCAAAGAGTACCACAGGTTGACTGTGTTGTGTGAAGCAGTACTTCCTTTAAAAAAACAAAAACAAAAAAACCCTGCTGCCTATTAATTTCATTAGAGGGCCCCAATTTATAAAAGTAAGTGTTGTCAAAAAATTACATTTTTAGACGTGTTAAATAAAAAACTGATGGGTAATTTTTTTTTTTTAAGTTGTGCTCTGTGTATTTTCTTAAATTGCAGCAGCTCAGAGAGGAAGTGGTGTATTTAAAAAGGTATTTTCCCCTATGGCTTGTAGGTGTCAGATTTTCCAAACCCTCACTGTAATTTGTAGATGGCTGTTACGTTCTACTAACCTAGCAGTACATTGATCATGTGGCTGGCTGGGTGGCATGATTCTTCATGAGGCTCACATACCCCTTATCTCCCTTGTCTTGACTATCATCTCTCTCCTCTCCCCCTCCCCCCCCACCATTTGCCCTATTCTCACAATAGTCCACTCCCTCCCTCCCCGGTGCCATAACTCCTCAGGCCTGGCTCCAGGGAGTGGGGATGAAATGTGCTGCTCACGGCCAGGAAGCAGCAGTGCTGGTTCCTGAGCCCTGGCTGCCTTCCCATGAACCCCTAGTAGCCAGGAGGAAATGAAGGTGCAGCCTTGCTCCCTGGCTGCAGCCCTGCTCATGAGTAAAAGTGCAACAATCACATGCCATGGGGGAGGGAACCCCAGCAATATCAGAAAAATAAAATTATCCCTCCCCAGGACCTGCCAATTTCATTAAACAATTTGAATACTCCTCACCCCTCTCCCTGCAATCAGCCACTTTCTCCCTGACCCATCTCCCCACCCTCTGCTGCTGCCTCTGATGTCAACTCTTATGATTTTGTTTGCAAGGCTTGTGTGCCTTGATGTTTTACTTAAAACTACAGCTCCTGGAGTTCAGAGGATTAGATGCAAATCTCAGCTTTCTTTTAAAAGTAAACATGAGTTTATAACCATGAAATGCCAGAAAATCTGACATGAGTATGCCCTAAAGGCTCAGAAAATAGAAGGCAAAAAAATCAACCAACATTCACTATCATAAAAATGTCTCATAATTGTTGGGGCCCAACTGCTGCAGCTTGAGCATGTGATGTTGGCACTGCACAACTCTCTCTCCTCCTTCTCCACACCCCATGCCCTGGGTGCAGAGTTTTCCACATCATGGATGATGATAAGAGCAGGTCCTTAGACCTAGCAGAGTTTGTGAAGGGCCTGAGCTCAGCTGGCATCACGCTGGGAAGCAGGGAGGCACAGCAAATCTTCAGCCTCTGTGACAAGAACAGCAGCGGCACGATGGATTTTGAGGAGTTCCTGGAAGCCCTGAGGGTGAGCTGGGGCCACTACCAGGGACTGCAGTGGGCATGGGGTGGGATGGGGAGAGAACTTGCCATGTTGTTGGTTAGTGACACTGCTGGCTGAACCAGGGACCCCAGCTGAAGGCAAATGGGTCCTTCCTCAGGGCCACAGGAGAAGTCTAGCACTGAGCTTGCAGTGACTCCCAGTGAGCAGGAAGGGTTGCAGGCAGGGCTGAGCACCCCGCTAGCAGATGCAGTGGATGGAAGAAGGGTGTTCTTTAGGGCTTGGGGGAGGCGGTCAAGTGCTTAATTTTGGGAGCCCTGGGGCCAGTTTGTCAGCAGTGTTGAGTTCCCCTAGCTCTGTCTACAGGTGTCTTAAGATGGGCAAAGTATGGGGCAGAGATGACACTGGTTTCACAGGCCCTCCCCACCCCCACAACGGTTTCCTAGGGTCCTGCCTGAAGAGGCCACATGCTGCAGGCAACAGGCAGTTTCTAGGGCAATCAGCCCCTGCTGCTAGGGAGAAAATTCCACTCCAATGCCCCACCCTGCTGCTCCAGTAAGGGTCACTGCCAGTCACTGGTCAGTTGTCGTCATTGTGGGGACAGGCACAAGGGGGCACACAGCTGTGCTCTTAGATAAGCGGTGTGTATGTGCCTAGAAGCCAGAAGCTGAAAGGCAACAAACTGCCCCACTAACAAAGCTTGTCTTTGCAGCCACCCATGTCGGCTGCCAGGAAGCAGATTATAGTTGATGCATTTCACAAACTGGACAAGACTGGAGCCGGCGTGGTGAGCGTGGAGGATCTCCATGGGGTGTATGACGGCAGAACTCACCCCAAGTACCAGAGTGGGGAATGGACAGAGGAGCAGGTGTTCCGAGCATTCCTGGACAGCTTTGACTCACCCAGTGACAAGGATGGAAAGGTAAGGGGAGGGTAGTACCTGACCAAGGGGCTGGGTTGTGTGGGGCCTGAACTGCTTCCCTCAGCAGAGGCCAAGACCCAGCTGCTCTGTAATCATTCCCTGTGCTGCTCAACTGCAGCCAGCTGGCCAGAAGCCAAGGCAAGAGGCCAGCCAACAGATGGACTTTATAATCTGATCATTCACAACGAAGCCGTAAATGGGGGTCAGGCAAACCTGGTCACGCCACCCCCTCGTCCTCCTCCAGGCAGCTTCAGCTAGAAGTGCACCCAGTGACACCTCCATTATTGCAATGCAGGAGTAAGGGGGAGCAGATTTCCCCCAAATGGGGCAGTTGGTTTTATGGGCAGGCTGCACCTAGAACTGACATCCATGGACACCCCCTGCTCTCAGCCAGGGAGCTCCAGCAGAAAGCAGCTGCAGGGTGCACTACATGATACATTACATTGTTTCTTCATGAAGTGGTGCCTGAGGCTGAAGTAAACCAGGAGTCTGCTACACAAGCAGGATAGGGACAGCATGTTAGTTTCCAGTCAGTTTTTCAAAGTGCTCTACAATTCACAGGTACAATCAGATCAGCTTGAAATTTGCTATGACAGCTGAAGATCTGAAATAGTTTGAGAGAGAAACTTGGGGTCATGTGGCTAGGGGTTTCTTGAGATATATCTCAAGAAAGGGGTGTGGAGGGTAAGGTTATAATTGTTCAAAGTACTCCATAACCATGCACTGTAGGGAGATAGTCTTGAGCTGTATCATAGAGTACAGAAGACATTGTGTGCTGCAAATTTGGGGCTAACTAGTCAAGAGGATTCCAGGGTAAAACTTTTCTCTTTCCCAATGACATGCATTTAACTAAAACAATACTCTAATAAGCACAAGCAGAACCTCGTGGCCTGGCCATTGCTTTGCCGGCTTTTACATTTCTAAGGATTCTTTAAATGCATAGAAATTAGCTGTGCTCCAACAGGGTCTGGAATGGCCTGTGTGGTGTGCAGCTGGGGTTGCCTGGTCCAGGGGTTCCCTCCCCTCATGAACCTGCTTTTGCTGTTCTAAGTGTTCCAGAACCAGGCGCACAGCCCCTCAGTGGTTTCAGGGGTGAGAATGGGTCTGCTCAGTGCATATCACAGGCACTGAGATTGGGAAATAGAGCTCAGCATGGGCTCCTTAAGGAAGAGCTCAGTGAATCCCCCCTGCTCAGATAGTGGATTATCGAGAGCAGTGTTGATCTGCAGCTCCACTGACCAGGAGCTCAAGTCTCCTCTGCATCAACCTTCTGCACATAGGTGCTGTGGGGTCCAGACACTAACACACACGTCTGCTCCTGCCATAAGGGGCACAGGGCTCCTTGTACCCTATACTGGAGCCTCTAGCAGGCAGCTGAGGGGCTAAGTAGTGCCCAGGAAGCCCCACTTACCCCTCAGTTGTGCCTCTGTCACAATTCCCGTCTCATAAAAACCAAGGGAAATTCAGAAGCAAAACCCTTCATTACCAAGGAGTTTGGGATACGGGCACTGCCTGCTTGGTCTTCCCCCAGAGCAGGAGCCTTTCATCCCCCAAGTAAGGCAAGCCAGGTAACGCAGCATTCAGGTGACGCTTCCCCTGCCTTTGCCACCCAGCACCAGGAGATTGGTGCTGCCCAAGCCCTGCCCAGGGCTGTAGGAATAGGCATGCACAGTGGAAGATGTGCTGGGCACAAGGAAAAGGGCAGGTTGGGTGAAGTGTGGCAATATTCTCAGTTCCTATTGCCAATGCATTGGGGGGAGTTAAAGGGGTGCAGCTGTCACCCAATGCCACATTTTGGGGTGGGCCAACCTGAGAGTTGTGAATACAAATGTAAAAGTGTCAAGACTGAGTGCAAACCAGAAATGATTTTTGACCAGCTCTAGGCATGAGAAGTATACATGAAAGTTCTGCTAGTGGTTCTAAATCGCCCCACTGCAGAACAAACATAGTAACCCTAAAATATAGTAATCTAATGTTACATTACTGCAGTGATAATATTAAGTGAAGTAGCAGTCCTACTTCTTTATTATGATTAAAGTTTTCTGACCAGCTGTACTCATGACATTAAAGTCGTATTTCTTTTTTTCTCCCTGCCCCCGTTTATTTCCTAAAAGTTTTCTTTCAATAGTGAATGCAACATATTCCTACGACTTAGATTTAACCTTTATTCTCCCTGCCCCACCCACTTGACTGCTGACTCACTATTCAATGCAGTCACTAGCAGCAGCAGACCCTGGGTGCATTTTCATAGACGGAGGCTATAGACAGGCCAGTCCCTAGCCATTTTGGTGCCCTACACAGGCCCCCCCCCCACCACCATGGGGGAGGCTGTGTGGGGCCCCAGGCCTCTGAGGAGATGGGGGGGGAGCTGGCTTGGGAGGTAGGGGAGAACCACTCCACAGCATGAGCCGGCGGCGCGGAATGTGTTGGGGCTGGGTCGCTCCACTTCCTGCTGCCCGGTGAGTGCAGGGAAGGCCTGACCCCGCACTCACGGGGTGGCGGGAAGTGGAGCGACCTGGCCCCAGCCCGCTCCACGCTGCTCCCCTGGCTCCCTTGGGACTTGGGGGGTTGGGGGAACTTGCCCTACTGCAGTCCTCAGAGAACTGGGGTGGGGCTGGGGCAGAGCCAGGGCAGGAAGAGGCAGGGCGGGGGCTTTGGGGAAGGGGTGGAGGAGGGGCTAGAGCTGCATACTTTGCGTATGGGTAGGGACAGCCCTGGCTATAGGAACTGGCTGGTGGTCTGACACCCTGCAGAAAACAGGCCCTCTCAAACATCTACATTTTCACTTCCTTGTAAGAGACATGTTGCTTAGGCTCCCGCCTGATTTGTGCTTTTATCTCTGCTCCCAGGTCTTAGCACGAACACACAATAGTCAGAATTTATACAACTTCATCTTTATTTTACTGATGGGGCAGATCAAAACAAAGCGACGTGTGAAGGGTCCCACAGCAAGCCAGATCCCGCCCTCCCAGGCCTGTGCCTTAGTCCCCAGACCGGTTTGCCTACACTGCAGCTGGGAACGTGCTTCCCAGTTTGGCTAGCTTGGGCAGCACACGGAAAAGAGCAGTGTGGCTGCAGCAGCGTGGGTGGCAGCTCAGGCTAGCAATCCAACCCCTGCGGATGTACTCATGGCTGGCCCAAGGCACTGCAGTTACGCTGCTATTTTTAACGCACTAGCTTGGGTCTGTCGACCTGTGCTGGGAACACGCTCCCAGCTGCAGCATAGACATAAACTCTGCCAGTAAAGGTAACTCCAGAAGGGACCACAAGATCATCTGGTCGGAGCTGTGTACAGCACCGGCCACTGATCACCACACCCAGGCATCCCTACACCAAGCCTATTGACCAGAATTAGACCACAGTGTCACAGCCTTCTGGAGACGAAGCTATTGTGTGCCACAGAACAGGAGGGTCCAAGGTGCACCAATGCCTGAGGGCCCCCGCAATGGCGGGAAACTGACAGATCTACTAACCCAGGTCCCTTATGAAAGAAATTAAATTAAGTAAATTGCAGTGGATCAGGCCCCTGCATGCCAAACCCCAGAGTGGGGCTGAGCCCCCTTGGCTCCCATGATAGCTTTCCTACAAGGGCACATGGTGCTCCTTCCTATGTTACATCAGGACGAGCAAAACAGAAGCCCCTTTCTCAATAGTGAAATGAGCCTCCAGCTCTGAGGCCTGTTCTGAGCCCCTCTCAAAGATGCCACTTTCACCTTCACTCTCCAACAGATCACAGCCGAGGAGTTCCTGAACTACTACAGTGGGGTCAGCGCATCCATTGACAGTGACGACTACTTCGTGGCTATGATGAAGAGAGCCTGGAAGCTGTAGCACATGTGGGGAATCCAGTGCAGTCCTGGAAGATGCTAAGTTAGAACCAGATCAGGGCAGTTTCCAAGAAATCCTATTCAGCATTTCATAGCAAAATGCTGCTTTTTGTAGTGATCAAATTGCTTGTCACCAAGAGGCCCAGCTTTGAGTTATCAGGCCTTTCCAGAAGCTGTGAAATCTTGACACCTGCCTGCAGAATAGAGAATCATAGATTAGAGTTGGAAGAGACCTCGGGAGGTCATCTAGTCCAACTCCCTGCTCAAAGCAGGACCAACACCAACTAAATCATCCCAGCCAGAGCTTTGTCAAACCGGGCCTTAAAAACCTCTAAGGAAGGAGATTCCAACACCTCCCTAAGTAACCCATTCCAGTGCTTCACCACCCTCCTAGTAAAATAGTTTTTCCTAATATCCAACCTAGACCTCCCCCACTGCAACTTGAGACCATTGCTCCTTGGTCTCTCATCTGCCACCACTGAGAACCGCCGAGCTCCATTCTCTTTGGAACCCCCCTTCAGGTAATTGAAGGCTGCTATCAAATCCCCCCTCAACTCTTCTCTTCTGCAGACTAAATAAGCCCAGTTCCCTCAGCCTCTCCTAATAAATCATGTGCCTCAGCCCTCTAATAATTTTCATTGCCCTCCGCTAGACTCTCTCCAATTTGTCCACATCCTTTCTGTAGTGGGGAGCCCAAAACTGGACACAATACTCCAGATGTGGCCTCCAGTTCCAGCTGGGCAAAGAACAGCTCGTTTAGTTTGGGGGCTGAACTGGAGAAAAAAATCCAGTTCAATTTGAACCACAACTAATTTTTTCAAATTTTTGTGATTGAAATTGAAGAAAAAAAAATCTGGTCAACAATCCACCCCCCCCCCCCCTTGAGTTTTTCATTTCAATTTGGCTGATTTGGGGTATTTTCAATCTTTTTGTGTTTTTGTTTTCAAATTTGGCCAATTTAAAAAAAAAGTTTCAAAAAGAGAGCCAATTTTTCAGGGTTTTTTGGGGACAAAACTATTAATAGAATTTGAACCAAATTCAGTGTCAGAGTCTCCAAAAATTCATTTTCTGGCAAAAATTATATATGCTAAATAAAATTTCTTCCAGCTCTACTGCAGAGTCCCTCAGCACTAGAGTCCACATTGACTCCCCCTTCCCACCTCCCCCAGCACAGCCTGGAATTTCAACTATATAAAAACCTGAAATAAAATAATCCTTCCCTTCCCCCACCCTTTGCCTGTCTTGTCTATTTAGACTGCAAACTAGTGCAGGGACTGGCTGTTACCGCATGGATGTGCAGTGCCCAGTGCAGTCGGGCCCTGACCTCAGCTATGCCCTGTAGGTGCTACCATAATACACATAATATCACATTAAAAACTTAAGACAAAGCTTATTTTGTGAGCGCTGCGGATGGAGACTGACCTTCCTATAGGAACACTGATGCAAGCAGGAGCAATTTCCCCCCATTTTCATCAGGTGATACAGAAGCCCAATGCAGGGAAATCACATGCACAGACTGACCTCTTTGCTGTTCAGATCTGATGCAAAGAGCAGCATAGAGGAAGCCATTTGGCCTGCACAATATGCTTTATTAGACCTACAAAACCCAGGAACTATTCAGCGTGTTCCTGAGCATCATCCACTGTCACCTTACCTATTAACTAACCACACACACACACACACACACACACACACACACTCTCTCTCTCTCTCGTAACCACCAGCCCTGCAGGAGCATTTACTAATATACACTGGCTAGCATATATATTGTGTTGGTAATACTACCTGCAATATATGTACTCCAGACATTTAAGTTTTAGAATAGTAGTTCTATAGCCCAAATTGGTCTGTACCTTTGATATAATGCTGTACACTTATGCCAAGTATTCCCTAACATCTTACATTAGATAGAATAATTTTGGCTTGCGTAAATAGGAAAACTGACAATATCAGGACATATAATTATTTCCTCATGACAACAGGAAAGGAGCTGCCCACACAAACCTAGGAGTGCATGTGTTCAGAACAAACGATAAAGGCGTACACCATGGTACCAGAAACAAAGACAGAAAGTTCATTAATTAAATTCAGTTCCAAATGACGTATGCTGTACCTTCTTCTGGTAAAACAAGTAGGGTATAAAAGGATGGCTCTAGAGGTGTAACTTTGGGGAGCACACCTACATAATGTGAATGTAACACTGTTGCACAGGACTGCTCTTCGGAGACTGGTATAATATAGGACCTTTTTCCTGCACCATATTAATAAACCTGACTGACATAGGTTATTTGGTCTCGAGTATATTTCATAACTAAATAAGGAACAGAAGTGTTCTCAAGCAATTGACTATATCATTTATCAACAAGGAGAAAGGTGCGTGTTGTCCCTGTTTGATAGATAGGGGTGATACTAATGCAATGACAGACTGGCTGGTTTGCTAGAAGGGGAGCCAGGTGCAAGTTTTCTATCTAAGCTGGGTTCCCACCCCTCCTTCACAAAAACAATTTTTGGGGGGGAGGAATAAACCTATTTTGCTATATTTTTCCAGCAGCCTCAGTAAGAAAGCCTCATTCTCTGAGCATGACTGAAGGCCTGTACAAACATTGGGAATTTGTCCCATTTCAGGGCAACCACATCCTCTCCTCTCACTTGGGTGAGCAGCACTGACCCTCCAGTGTCCAGAGAAGGGGAATATTTTGCTGACTCTTTTTCTGAGACTCATGAAATTAGCTGGCCACTAACCCACAGACCCTGATGGCTGCTCATGCTAACGATTCTAAAATGAGAGAGAAGTGCTGAGTTCACCTCACTTCCATTTCTCCCCCTCTTCTGTAGTGGGATTATATAGGGCCCCTGAGGGTTATGTAGGTTTTTAACAAAAATTAGTCTCACACCAACTTGCTAGGGGTTGTACAGATGGGGAAACAAAGTCCCAGAAAGATTCTGTGACTTGCCAATGGTCACCTACTGATTCAGTGGTAGAACCAAGAACAGACCCAAGGAATAAATCCCCCCTTTCAGTCAATATTCCAATTCTATTGATGTTTAGGGTAATTCTAATTTAACAGTGAAATAATCAGTAAAAACTATAGTGAGACAGACATCAACCTCCAGGGAAGGAATCTTAAAAATGGAAGAAAAACACTGCCCTTCTTTGGGCACTCTCTTTCAAAGAGGTGTTTATGGTCTCTTACTACCAATTTAAAAAATATTCCTATGCCTATTTTCTTAAATGATAAAGGGCTATTAGGACCATGCTTTACCAGTCCAACAAGGACTGTTTGGAACAGTCATAAGACTGGCCATACTGGGTCAGACCAAAGGTCCATCTAGCCCAGGATCCTGTCTTCTGACAGTGGCCATGGCCACTGCCAGGTTCCCCAAAGGGAATGAACAGAACAGGTAATCACCAAGTGATCCATCCCTTGTTGCCCATTCCCAGCTTCTGGCGAACAGAGGCTAGGGACACCATCCCTGCCCATCCTGGCTAATAGCCATTGATGGACATATCCTCCATGAACTTATCTAGTTCTTTTTTGAACCCAGTAAAGTGTCCTCTAGTTTATTTCATCATGATGAAAATAGACCTGACATTTTTGCTGTTCAGCCAGGTTGATAGTAATGAGAGGACCCTCCCTCCATAAGAGGGAAGTTTTGTTAATACTGGTTGTCTATCTGAGGAGCACAGCTAGCCAACCAATCTGAATATAGGGTTTGAGGGGCCAGTGTTTAGCAGGTTTATAATTAAAGCACAAATATGATCCAAATTTGGATCAAAATAGTGTATGTACCTTATTAGACATGTGATGGAGTTGCCAGTCGCAGTTCTTTAGTTCAGACTGAGTTGAGTTTTGCACTCAAAGGAGGGATTCAGTCTCTGTTGTGTGAAAACAGCTGTCCCCTCTCCAACTTTACAGCACTTACTCTGAGCACACAATGAATTTTTTTTTAAAATGTACAAGTAAATCTATTGGTTAGTGTAGGAGTTAAAACTAATTTTAAAATGTGTCCTTTAAGGAATTTAGAGCTCTGTGTCAGTCCTATTTTGTCCCCAATGATTTAAGAATACAAAAATGCTGACTCTTCAAACATCCATTAAAAAGTTAAATATCACTGAAGTCTTATGCACAGGCTACATTTAGTTTTTATTACTAATGATTAAAAGCCATTTTTTGCCATTATTCTTAACTGAAAGTTTCACTTTCATTTCATGAAGAGCTGCCATCTTTCAAAATGACCATCTCTAATTGTTCTCAATGGGACTGCTAAAGGTAGCCTGTGGCCTCAAAGATGTCCATTGCCTTCATCCACTTCCATTCATTGCTCCTGACAGCAAAGTGGATTACTATCTTCCCTGAGGGCAGCTTGGCTTCATTTCTTTGGAAATAACAGTCATTTTGAAAGAGGGCAAATTTACTAATAATAATCTTCAAACACTTAAAATGACAGATAAGCTTTCAGTTACAAAAAGGCCATTAATCCTAAATATTTCTTTAAAAAAAACAAAAACAAAACAAAAAAAAAAACTTGTTGCACCAGATCTAGAGGTTACGAGGTAGAGGAAAATTAGGGTATACATTGTCTGCTTTATGCTGCTTTGGGGAATGGAAAGTCACTACAAGCCCATCTTAACTGGCCAGTACATCCTGGTTGCTTTGTGCTACTCAGCATACTAGTAAATCTAGACCTCTAAATTTAAAATGAAAAAGTTATTTAAATCACTAGAAATAACGTTCTCTTTCAGGTTCTTGCTTACTATGTATGTGTGAAATTTTTAATTAAAAAAAAAAGAAAATTCCTAGACTAAGACTATTGTCAGATGGAGTTGAAGTTGAAAGTAAAGTTAAACTAAAAAGAAATCTAAGCATGTTAAGGTACCGAAAAGGAAGTGGAGAAAAATCTAATATGTCTAAAAATCATTTTAATCTCGTCTGGTATCACAAACTACTATGCATTACTCAAAAGTGTATCATTATTGGATGGTGACACTACAGGGCAGAGTTAAGGTTATTCAGATGCACTAACCATGCATTTCCATACCATGACATGTTTGGCTTGTAAGCGTACCCTTAACTCTGAATTTCCTGGTTTTACAAGGCTTGGTTGGGCCATAATTACAATATCCCTGTAACATTCTCCCCTATATTACAGATATGTATTCTCAAATTTAACTCCATCTTAATGTATTTTTTGTCTGGAAAAATACACACATTGTGGTTTGGAAAATTTATGGCCAGGTTACTTGGCAGCCCTAAGCAGCTCATCTTAGTAAATGCTGATAAAACACTATCACCAACACACACAATAATACAGCTAAAGATCACAGCAACAAAGATATAGGAAACAAAAAGCCTTTTGCAATAATAAAACCATTTCCTTCTTTCCAACACTCATTGCTAGACAGAATACACACAGGGCTTGGGTTATCGGTTTTTTGTTTTTGTTAAAAGTTTTAATGTAATTCCCAAATACAATTGATATGACAATCTTACATAAATCTTTCAAAACACATGGGCATTATCTGGTTTTACTTGTCACTAGTTTACTAAGGCTTAAAGCAGAAAGTGTAATAACGTTTAGATCTGGCCTAACTACATCTTTCTGGACAGGGCTTGAAATTAACTTCTGGCCAATTCTGTGAATGGTTTATAGACCATAATATTTTGGACTAAGATGAAATATTTTGTTGTTATTATACTATAAACATATATGCAAGGCTTCTAGCTGAAACCCAAGTTTTACCAGTAAACAGCTGCCAGATTTAAAGAAAACTCTGTAGGTAACTGTTTAATACTACTGCACCCCATGAAAAAAAGCATGCTTATTCCATTCTCCTGGATGTTAATGTATTTGTCAATGTAACACTATTGTGAAATGCCCGAAAGTGAGCCCCTACACACACACGCCTCCAAAAAGAGTGGAGTTTGGAAGTAGGAAGTAACATCTAATATTCCATAGTTAGGCCCTGCAACAAAGACACCTTATTAACTTCTGTAATAATCTTTATGCTGGAAATCAGAAGCTTTACTTTGAAAGTTTATTTTAAGAGAGTATTTTAAATTCATTTGACTATCCATGTAAAAAAGGTCCAAAAGAAATGCAGATCACTTAATGCAAACCAAAGAATTCCCAAAAGTGTGTGGGGCAGATGAACACTTGCAGAGGATTAAAAATCTGCCAGATTTCTACTAGTGAGGAGCATGAAAAGAGAGCGTCAATTGGCTTGTGCATGGCAAAAGATACAACTCCCTCTATGGAGAAATAACAATACCCACAGACTGCATGAGCAGACAATCCAGAGAGGTCACAAATGCAGTGGCACAGCTAATCCCGAGCCCTTTCCACCCCCAGAAAGAGTAACATCAGGAGTTCCTTCAATGGGCTAAGTCAGGAAAACAAGCAACTAAAACCCCTGGCAACAGTTAGCTATTGACAACAGGAAAAATACAAAGAGAACAAGCTAAATACACTTTGGACTCCTGACTATAGAAGTGTGGGTTTTCATTAATATAAAAGCTAGAAGGGCTGCTTAATCAATCTGAATGGTTTCCCCAGCTGCTTTTGTGCTACAAGAACTCTTGGGTTTCCATTTTCAAGGTTTCCTGCACTAAATATTTCTTCTTCCTCTTTCTTTTTTTTTGAAGATGCATTTTAGATCTTCCCAATATAAATGAAAAAATTTGTACAGAGTATGCAATTATAAGAGAAAATAAAATAAAATGGGGTATTTATAGGAAAGTGGGCTACACACTGTTCTTAGCTGACTATGTATTCCATCTTTCCTGGACAGGAATGAGATATTGTATCAATTGGTTACTAAAACACAGTCATTGTGAGTTTGACACAAGAGGCTGAAAGGTTAGAAAATGACAAAAGCAAAATGAACTGGTTACACAAGGAACCCTTCAGAATTACACAGAAAAACACTTTTTTGCCTTTATTTGGCAAAACAGGATTCATCATTCTTCAGCACAAGTTAATCAAAGCTAGCAATAATTCTTCATACTGCAAAACCTAAGGAGGCAAGAAAGGGAAAGGGAGGTTTAGAAAATGATTTGCTCATTAAGGCCCCCAGTTCAGCAAGTGCTCAAGCATGTGCGCTAATTTTAAGCATAAGAGTAATTCCCTTAATGTGAATGTGATTACTCATGTGCTTAAAGTTAGGCACAATGCTTAAGTACTTTGCTGAACTGAGACTCAAGTCACTGAGTTTACACTGCAAATAAAACCTGCAGCTGGCCTGTGCCAGCTGACTCGGGCTCCCAAGGCTCAGGCTGGGGGGTTATGTCACTGCAGTGTAGACTTCCGGGCTTGGGCTGGAGCCTGAGTCCTGGGACCCTGCGAGTTGGGAGAGTCCCAGAGCTTGTGCTGCAGCCCGACTCCAGACGTCTACACTGCAATGACACAGCCCACCAGCCCAAGCCCCTGTCAGCTAGCATGGGCCAGTGCACGTGTCTAACTGCAATGTAGACACCTTTAATGAGAACAGCTTTTTTGTGTACAGATCTGTTGAAATGGCTTACCCAACTCACCAAATGAGCCCATCTCATTCTTCCAAAGGCAGACAGCTGTTTTATAGCTGTTCTGAAGGTGTGTGATCTGTATGCCATCCTAAGCTTTAATCACAGCCACAAGAACATAAGTTTACTATGAAAAATTGTATGCAACACCTATTATTTATAGTGGCTTAGCTCTCCCTTAAATAGTAACAGAAAAGAACAGTACAAAACAATAGTTTCACTTTCTCAACACACAAGAGCATCTTATTCAGATCTAAAATAAAAAAAGTATCAGCACAATATAAACCCCCAAATAATAATATTGGAAGTGGGAGGGAAGAAGAAAAGGGTTAGCAAAATTTCCAGTGAACTTTAAAGTTTCTTATTAACTCAGTACAAGGCTTTCCTGTCAAGACAACTTTTTTTGTAACCTCTGGGTACAGACCGACCGACAAAGGACAATGGTATCCACAAATTACGTTGGGATTAAGGTAAAAAAATGCTGCCCTCTCTGCAATCCAAAGAGAATGAAGCCAGAAGGGTAATCAGTGAGTGCATGAACAGAGAAGAGCACAGCTTCTCTGCAGGCAGCAGGAACTGAAAAGGGAGAAGCGGGGGTTAAGAAAGAAGAATTCAAGTTGGAACCGTGCTGGAAAGTTCTATCTCAGAGGCCTGCAAAACATGAGCTACTGAAGAAACAGTCAAAAGGTCCCAATGAAAAGCTGTGACAAGTCATAATGTGCCATTTCAATTACAAGGAAAAGGGGAAATGTTATTTTTCTGCTCATCAATATGATGAGCTTTCATGTCCCAAACCACATTCAGGCAGTTTCCAAGTCTGCTTTTTTTGTGGAATCTACTGATCCAGACCAAAAAAACCAAACAAACAGAACAGGGATGCACAGTTCCTAAGTCCTGGAGCCTTCAGCACTGCCTGGAACAATCGCTGGCCTGGGGTATCCACAGAGGTGCCTGCAAGATGGTGTTTGCAGCAGCCTTGCAGGCAGATGGCCTCACAGCTGCTATGTGCTGCCAATATTCTGCCCATCTCCTTCATCATTAGGACCTGAAACAGAAATAGATCATGGTTACAAGAAATATTTATTTTATCTGTAAAACTTACTTTGCTATTTTTTGATGCAAACTATGGAATGAAGATTCCAGCTGGCTATCAGTGCTCCATGCCCCTCTCCCCAGCCTATAAACTAGACCAGTGTTTCTCAACGACCAGTCTGTGGACTGGCACCAGTCCCCAAGATTTCCCTGACACAGTTTATGAAGGCAGCAAGCCTCCTTGGTATCAAAAAGGTTGAGAAACCCGGACCTAGAGTACCCAGCTCTTAGAAGCCTATGGAGGAGTCTCAATCTTAGGATTTCAAGGTGAGAGACAAGAACCAAAAATCTCTGCTTCTCCCATTCCCTCATTTCCCAGATCAAGCCCCCACACCCAGTCCCTACAAAATTACACATATCCCACCTGTTCTTGCTGGGCCGCCCAGAAGCACCAAAAGAGAAGCTTCCCTCACCCCCTTCTACCCTTATCATAGAAATGCAGGGTTGGCAGGGACTTTGGGAGCCACTTTTCCCTAGTTTGCTTATGAGAATGTCATGTGGGACTGTATCAAAAGCCTTAGTAAAATTGAGATATATCATGTCTACTGTTTCCCCCCATCCACTAGGGCAATAACTCTATCAAAGAAGGAAATTAGGTTGGTTCGGCACGATTTGTTCTTGACATCTCCATGCCGGCTATTCCTTATAATTCTATTATCCCCTAGGTGCTTACACATTAATTGTTTAATAATTTCTTACAGTATCTTTACAGGTCGCAAAGTTAGGCTGACTAATCTAATTCCCCAGGTCCTCTTTGATCCCCTTTTTAAACACGGGTACTACGTTTACTCTTCTCCAGTCCTCTGGGACTTCACCTGTCCTCCATGAGTTCTTCAAGATAACTGCTAATGGTTCTGAGATTGTTTCAGCTAATGCTAGGTGTGCCGTAGCCTTTCTGATTTTGTCCCTACATGCTTGTGCTTTTTTTTTTTTTTTTAAACTCCTCTTGACAATTTGTCCATATTTCCACTTTTTTGTAGAATTTCCTTTTGATTTTTGGGTCATTAAAGAGCTCCTGATAGAGCCATATTGGCCTCTTCCTATATTTCCTTCGCATCACAATAATTAGAAGTTTTGCATTTAATATTGTCTCCTTGAGAGACTGCCAACTCTCCTGAATGCTAATGTTTTCTTCCCTTGGGACCGCATCCTACCAGTTCTCTCGGATTGTTAACGTCTGCTTTTTTTAAGTCAGTTGTCCTTATTCTGTTATCACTCCTTCCTTTTCTTAGAATTATGCAATCTATCATTTCGTGATCACTTTCACCCAAATTGCCTTCCACCTTCAGATTCACAACCAATGTTTCCCTATTGGTCAGAATCAAGTCTAAAATGGCTTTCCCCCGGGTTACTTCCTCCACTTTCTGAAACAAAACATTGTCCCTGATACATTCTAAGAACTTTTGGACATTTTGCGTTTTGCTGAATTAACTACCCAGACATCTGTTGAAAAAGTAAAGTCCTCCATTACTACCAGGTCTTGTGTTTTGGCTATTTCTGTTATTTGTTTTAGAAATGTTTCATTCACTTCCTCCTCCTGATTTGGTGGTCTACAGTAGACCCCTACCTTGATGTCACCCTGTTTTCCCCCCGGTTTTATATTTACTCAGCCTTTCAACTGTGTGCCTCACACCTCCTTTTGGATCTCCGGATAAGTATATATATATTCTTGATGTATAATGCAATCCACCTCTTCCCTTTTTTCCCCAGCTTTCCTGAAGAATCATAGAACTGGGAGGGACCTCGAGAGATCATCTAGTCCAGTTCCCTGCACTCAAGGCAGGACTAAGTATTATCTTTCTAGACCATCCCTGACAGGTGTTTGTCCAACCTGCTCTTAAAAAACTCCAATGATGGAGATTCCACAACCTCCCTAGGCAATTTATTCCAGTGTTTAACCACTCTGACAGTTAGGAAGTTTTTCCTAATATCCAACCTAAACCACCCCCTTGCTGCAATTTAAGCCCATTGCTTCTTGTCCTATCCTCAGAGGTTAAGAAGAACAATTTTTCTCCCTCCTCCTTGTAACAACCTTTTATGTACTTCAAAACTGTTATCATGTCCCCTCTCAGTCTTCTCTGCTGCAGACTAAACAAACCCAATTTTTTCGCTCTTCCCTCACAGGTCATGTTTTCTAGGCCTTTAATCATTTTTGTTGCTCTTTTCTGGACTTTCTTCAATTTGTCCACATCTTTCCTGAAATGTGGTGCCCAGAACCAGACCCAATACTCTCTCCAGTTGAGGTCTAATCAGCACGGAGTAGAGCAGAAGAATTACTCGTGTCCTGCTTACAATACTCCTGCTAATACATCCCAGAATGATGTTTGCTTTTTTTGCAACAGCGTTACACTCTTGACTCATATTTAGTTTGTGATCCACTCTGACCCCCAGAGCCCTTTCTGCGGTACTCCTTTCTAGGCAGTCATTTCCCATTTTGTATGTGTGCAACTGATTGTTCCTTCCTAAGTGGAGTACTCTGCATTTGTCCTTATTGAATTTCATCCTATTTACTTCAGACCATTTCTTCAGTTTGTCCAGACCATTTTGAATTTTAATCCTATCTTCCAAAGCACTTGCAACCCCTCCCAGCTTGGTATCGTCCGCAAACTTTATAAATGTACTCTCTATGCCATTATCTAAATCTCTAATGAAGATATTGAACAGAACTGGACGCAGAACTGATCCCTGCAGGACCCCACTCGTTATGCCCTTCCAGCATGACTGTGAACCACTACTAACTACTCTCTGGGAATGATTTTCCAACCAGTTATGCACCCACCTTATAGTAGCTCCATCTAGGTTGCATTTTCCTAGTTTGTTTATGAGAAGGTCATGCGAGACAGTATCAAACACCTTACTAAAGTCAAGATATACCACATCTACTGCTTCCCCTGTAAACCTATGTCAGTCATGAGATTTATCCAACCAAATCTCTGTGATGCCAATTAATTCATAATTTAGCTTATGTTCTAATGGCTGCCAATTCTTCCTTTTTGTTCCCCATACTCACTGCATTTGTGTATAGACATCTAAAACGTTGAGCCTTGCATTCTGCCAGCACAGAGCTGCTGTTCCAAACCCAGCCTCTGCTGCAAATCATCCTTGCTATTTTCTATCATGAGACCGGCTGCAGGACTGGCAGAAGCAAAAGGAGGGGAGGTTTCCAGCTATAGGAAGACAGAACATAGCTGGCTCCCATCCAGGAATCCTGAAATGGCCCCTCCTCCCGTGGCTCCCCACCCTTTAGTCTCCTTCATGTCTCCCCACCCGCATCTCCTCTGACTCCTGCCTATTTCCCAATACAGCCACACTCCCACCTGCCCCCACAGTCCCATTACCCACTTCTCTGTATTTTCCTGTTTCCTGACCGGCCCTCACAAGGTGACTAAAGGGCCACCATTTTCCCTAAGGTCAGCCTGGATTCAGCCCACTGTAAACAATGGGAGATGGTCATCATTTTCATAGACTCATAGGACTGGAAGGGACCTCAAGAGGTCATCTAGTCCAGTGGTTTTCAAACTGCGGGTCGCGACCCAGTACTGGGTTGCAGAACGTAAGGCACTGGGGTCACAGTGGCTCTGGTCAGCACCACCGACCGGGCCATTTAAAGTCCCATTGGTGATGCTGCCTGGCTAAGACAGGCTAGTCCCTACGTGTTCTGACACTGTGCTGTGCCCTGGGAGCACCCCCATGAGCTGAGCACCCCAGCCCTCTGCCCTGATCCCTGAACTCCCCCCCACACCCAGCCTTCTGCCCTGCACCCCCTCACACCCCCAGCACTCTGCCCTGACCCCTGAACATCCCCCCCCCAGGTCTGGGGTTCCGGCTGCCGGCCCCTTGTCAGCCAGCGTCCCAGCCGCAGGCCCCACTCAGCCCCCTGCCGGCCTAGGTGAACAGAACCCCAGGCTGGCAGTGGGGCTGAGCAGGCTGGCGGCGTAAGATCAGCATTTTAATTTAATTTTAAATGAAGCTTCTTAAACATTTTGAAAACCTTGTTTACTTTACATATAACAATAGTTTAGTTATATAATATAGACGTATAGAGACAGACCTTCTAAAAAACATTAAAAGGTATTACTGGCACGCGAAACCTTAAATTAAAGTGAATAAATGAAGACTCGGCACACCACTTCTGAAAGGTTGCCGACCCCTGATCTAGACCATCCCTGACAGGTGTTGTCCAATCTGCTCTTAAAAACCTCCAATGATGGAGAGTCCACAACCTCCCTAGGCAATTTATTCCAGTGCTTAACCACCCTGAGAGTTAGGAATTTTTTCCTAATGTCCAACCTAAAATGCCCTTGCTGCAATTTAAGCCCATTGCTTCTTGTCCTATCCTCAGAGGTTAACGAGAATAATTTTTCTCCCTCCTCTTTGTAACAACCTTTTATGTACTTGAAAAGTGTTATCATGTTCCCTCTCAGTCTTCTCTGCTGCAGACTAAACAAATCCATTTTTTTCAGTCTTCCCTCATAGGTCATGTTTTCTAGACCTGTAATCATTTTTGTTGCTCTTCTCTGGACATTTTGGGTAAGGACAACATTTCACTAGGTTGAAGGCAGAAATCAAACTCATGACAACACTTAACACCCCCAAAAAACAATTAAACTAATGAGAGTGGGCAATGCTGAACTAATTAATATCTTGTAATTAGGCGACAGCCCCACTGGGGACCCTCTGTGCCAAGCCATGCAGGGAACTTTTCAATATCCATTTAGAGGGATGTGACAAATGTGAAGGGATTTCTACTACATGACTGGAAGAGTTGGCTGTGACCACAGCTTAGTTCATGTCATGGACCCTATACCACAAACACTCATGAATATAACAAAGGCTAGGTCTACACTGGGGGGGAAGATCGATTTAAGATACGCAAATTCAGCTATGCGAATAGCGTAGCTGAATTCGACGTATCCAATCCGACTTACCCCACTGTGAGGACGGCGGCAAATCGACCGCTGCGGCTCCCTGGTCGACGGTGCTTACTCCTACCTGGGCTGGTGGAGTACGCGCGTCGATTCGGGGATCGATTGTCGCGTCCCGACGAGACGCGATAATTCGATCCCCGAGAGATCGATTTCTACTCGCCGATCCAGGCGGGTAGTGAAGACAAGCCCTAAGACAGTTAGGCACTAATGGAAGAGTCAAGCAGTTTTCTTTGTTTAAGTGCAACGGGAGAACAGTACGGGAAACTAGAAAGTTTAGCACATTTTCTTGCTTACCACTTCCAGCTGATCCTGAAGGAGCAATGACATCATCATCACTATCTTCTTCATTTGATTGTGTTACCTCTGGCTCAGGTGCTGTGATCTTTGCTTCTTGCTCTTGTTCCACTCTACACCGTAGAGCCAAGATCCGATGGTGTAATGCAGCATACAGCTGTCCTGTATCTTTAGAGCTTGCCTATGGATTTTTAAAATATCAAACGAATAAGATTTTAAAAGTTTACAAATGTTTTATTCTATGCAACCTCTTATACAGAGCAAAACATTCCTACCAAACTTAACTTAACAGTAAAAAGGTCGCAGAGCAGTTTTTAAACTAGGAGATGGGGGAAAGCCGACTGCTGCAGAGGAGCATGTGGATCGGACAGAGACTTCTCTTAGAAGACAGTCTATTGATAGAGATTCTCTAGGTTCTAGTCAGGAGCAGAGGATGGAAGAGCATAATGTAAGGACCAGATCAGATGAGAAACATTCACATATAGAATCGGACACATCAGAAAAGGGCAGACAAATAAACAGTGACAAGTTTTTAAAGTGCTTGTACACAAATGCGAGAAGTCTAAATAATAAGATGGGTGAACTAGAGTGCCTCGTGTTAAAGGAGGATATTGATATAATAGGCATCACAGAAACCTAGTGGAGTGAGGACAAGTAATGGGACACAATCATTCGGACGAACAGAACAGGTCGTGCGGCGGGGGTGGGGGAGAAGCACTATATGTGAAAGAAAATGCAGAATCATATGAAGTAAAAATCTTAAATGAATCCACATGTTCCACAGAATCTCTATGGATAGTAATTCCATGCTATAATAAGAATATAACAGTAGGGATCTATCATCGATCACCTGACCAGGACAGTGATAGTGACGATGAAATGCTAAGGGAGATTAGAGAGGCTATCAAAATAAAGAACTCAATAGTGGGAGATTTCAATTATCCCCATGTTGACTGGGTACATGTCACCTCAGGACGAAATGCAGAGACAAAATTTCTTGATGCTTTAAATGACTGCTACTTGGAGCGGCTGGTATAGGACCCACAAGGGGAGAGGCAATTCTCAATTTAGTCCTGAGTGGTGCGCAGGACTGGTCCAAGAAGTAACTATAACAGGACCGCTTGAAAATAGTGATCATAATATAACAACATTTAACATTCCTGTGGTGGGAAGAACACCTCAGCAGCCCAACACTGTGGCATTTAATTTCAGAAAGGGGAACTATGCAAAAATGAGGAGGTTAGTTAAACAGAAATTAAAAGGTACAGTGACTAGAGTGAAATCCCTGCAAGCTGCATGGACACTTTTCAAAGACACCATAATACAGGCCCAACTTAAATGTATACCCCAAATTAAAAAACACAGTAAAACAACTAAAAAAGAGCCACCGTGGCTTAACAACCATGTAAAAGAAGCAGTGAGAGATAAAAAGGCATCTTTTAAAAAGTGGAAGTCAAATCCTAGTGAAGTAAATAGAAAGGAGCATAACACTGCCAAATTAAGTGTAAAAAATGTAATAAGAAAAGCCAAAAAGGAGTTTGAAGAAGAGCTAGCCAAAAACTCAAAAGGTAATAACAAAATGTTTTTTAAGTACATCAGAAGCAGGAAGCCACCGAAACAACCAGTGGGGCCCCAGGACAATCGAGATAAAAAAAGGTGCACTTAAAGATGATAAAGTAATTGCGGAGAAACTAAATGAATTCTTTGCTTCAGTCTTCACGGCTGAGGATGTTAGGGAGATTCCCAAACCTGAGCCGTCCTTTGTAGGTGACAAATCTGAGGAATTGTCACAGACTGAAGTGTCATTAGCGGAGGTTTTGGAATTAACTGATAAACTTAACAGTAACAAGTCACAGGGATCAGATGGCATTCACCCAAGAGTTCTCAAATGTGAAATTTGAGAACTATTAACTATGGTTTGTAACCTGTCCTTTAAATCAGTTTCTGTACCCAATGACTGGAAGATAGCTAATGTAATGCCAATATTTAAAAGGGGCTCTAGAGGTGATCCTGGCAATTACAGACCGGTAAGTCTAACATCAGTACTGGGCAAATTAGTTGAAACAATAGTAAAGAATAAAATTGTCAGACACATAGAAGAACATAAATTGTTGGGCAAAAGTCAACATGGTTTCTGTAAAGGGAAATCATGTCTTACTAATCTACTAGAGTTCTTTGAAGGGGTCAACAAACATGTGGACAAGGGGGATCCAGTGGACATAGTGTACTTAGATTTTCAGAAAGCCTTTGACAAAGTCCCTCACCAAAGGCTCTTATGTAAATTAAGTTGTCATGGGATAAGAGGGAAGATCCTTTAATGGATTGAGAACTGGTTAAAAGACAGGGAACAAAGGATAGGAATAAATGGTAAATTTTCAGAATGGAGGGGGGTAACTAGTGGTGTTCCCCAAGGGTCAGTCCTCAGACCAATCCTATTCAACTTATTCATAAATGATCTGGAGAAAGGGGTAAACAGTGAGGTGGCAAAGTTTACAGATGATACTAAACTGCTCAAGATAGTTAAGACCAAATCAGACTGTGAAGAATTTCAAAAAGATCTCACAAAACTAAGTGATTGGGCAACAAAATGGCAAAGAAATTTAATGTGGATAAATGTAAAGTAATGAAAACAACAAGGAGTCTGGTGGCACCTTAAAGACTAACAGATTTATTTGGGCATAAGCTTTCGTGAGTAACTCACGAAAGCTTTACTCACGAAAGCTTATGCCCAAATAAATCTGTTAGTCTTTAAGGTGCCACCAGACTCCTTGTTGTTTTTGTAGATACAGACTAACACGGCTACCCCCTGATACTTGTAAAGTAATGCACATTGGAAAAAATAACCCCAACTATATATACACAATATGATGGGGGCTAATTTAGCTACAACTAATCAGGAAAGAAGTCTTGGAGTCATCGTGGATAGTTCTCTGAAGACGTCCTTGCAGTGTGCAGCGGCAGTCAAAAAAGCAAACAGGATGTTAGGAATCATTAAAAAGGGGATAGAGAATAAGACGGAGAATTGCCCTTATATAAATCCATGGTATGCCCACATCTTGAATACTGCATACAGATGTGGTCTCATCTCAAAAAAGATATACTGGCATTAGAAAAAGTTCAGAGAAGGGCAACTAAAATGATTAGGGGGTTTGGAACAGGTCCCATATGAGGAGAGATTAAAGAGGCTAGGACTTTTCAGCTTGGAAAAGAGGAGACTAAGGGGGGATATGATTGAGGTATATAAAATCATGAGTGGTGTGGAGAAAGTGAGTAAGGGAAAAGTTATTTACTTGTTCCCATAATATAAGAACTAGGGGCCACCAAATGAAATTAATGGGTAGCAGGTTTAAAACAAATAAAAGGAAGTTCTTCTTCACACAGCGCACAATCAACCTGTGGAACTCCTTGCCTGAGGAGGTTGTGAAGGCTAGGACTATAACCGGGTTTAAAAGAGAACTGGATAAATTCATGGAGGTTGAGTCTATTAATGGCTATTGGCCAGGATGGGTAAGGAACGGTGTCCCTAGCCTCTGTTTGTCAGAGGGTGGAGATGGATGGCAGGAGAGAGATCACTTGATCATTACCTGTTAGGTTCACTCCCTCTGGGGCACCTGGCATTGGCCACTGCCGGCAGACAGGATACTGGGCTGGAGGGACCTTTGGTCTGACCCAGTATGGCTATTCTTATGTTCTTATGTAACTTCACTGCTTTGCAATTTTACACTGTTGATTTCAGAGTCAGTAGGTCTGGTATCCAGATGGGTGTTTTCAGACCAGGTCAGAGATTTAGTGACAGTGGAATCACAGTGTTGTTGGTGGTCAAGGGCTGGACACGTTTAGTTCCTAAAGGGAAGAATGCACTCAGTGATTCTCTCTAACCACCTCCTATGGCTGACTGAAGGAATGATTTTGGTTGACTTCAGAAGAAACCACGTGCAACCCCCCTCATCCCAAGAAGGTATGCAAGAGGAAACAGCAACAAAGAAAGGGCACAGAGGGGAGTCTCAGAGCCACCAAGCCGCATGCCAAATACACAAGTTTTTTTGCCTAAATTTACGCTTATACTTTCTTTACAAAGGCAAGTCTTCACCCTTTAAAGAACCCCAAACCATCTGTCTGGATTTTCAGTCATACATCTAGTACACATATTTGTTACTAAAATGACTTGATTGTGATTATTTTATCGTGTATCTCTAAAAAACCTTAAATCTCTAACAAAACACATTTAATAACAGAATTGCCACACTAGATCAGACCTGTGATTCATGAAGCCCAGTATGCTGTCTCTGACTTTCTTGCACACTCCCAAGAATTAATGGCTGCCTTATGTCCCAAAGCAAGGGGAGTTATAGCCATTTCAAAACTAACTATTCAGTGGATATTATCCATACTGGCAGCTGAAAGCCCTGCTGTCGCAAGGGTATAATTTATAAAGTCATGTGCGTAAAAAAGCTGAAAGTGGCTGGGACCTTAAAAACTGGACAGTAACAGACCATGAATCCCAGCGATAATTGAACCTGGTAAGACAGAGTGAGTGTATGTGTGAGAGAGAGAGACTGGGACCTGGTCTACACTACGAGTTTAGGTTGACTTTAGCCGCGTTAAATCGAATTAAGCCTGGACACGTTCACACGACGAAGCCCTTTCTTTCGACTTAAAGGGCCCTTTAAACTGGTTTCTTTACTCCACCTCCGACGAGGGGATTAGCGATAAAATCGGCCTTAGGGGGTCGGAATTGGGTTAGTGTGGACGGAATTCGACGTTATTGGCCTCCGGGAGCTATCCCACAGTGCTTCATTGTGACCGCTCTGGACAGCACTCTCAACTCAGATGCACTGGCCAGGTAGACAGGAAAAGCCCCGCGAACGTTTGAATTTCATTTCCTGTTTGCTGAGCGTGGAGAGCACAGGTGACCACGCAGAACTCATCACCACAGGTAACCGTGATGGGAGTCCCAGGATCGCAAAAGAGCTCCAGCATGGACAGAACGGGAGGTACGGGATCTGCTCGCCATATGGGGAGATGAATCAGTGCTGGCTGAACTCCGAAGCAGTAAATGAAATGGCAAAATATTAGAAAAGGTCTCCAAGGCCATGAAGGACAGAGGCCATAACAGGGACGCACAGCAGTGCCGCGTGAAAATTAAGGAGCTAAGGCAAGCCTACCACAAAGCCAGAGAAG